AAAAAACATGTCCCAATTATTTAGATAATCTATGCACGTTTGATAAAATGTGTACACAGCATCATTGCATTTTTTGGCTTGTATATTTTCTGATTTTTCTAATGCTAAAACCACTTTTCTAATAACAATAGGAAGAAACCCCTGGTACTGTCAGTGGGCCGTTTGGTTGGCAACACACTGCACTACTGCGCTCTATGTAGCAATGCAACACTGGTTGTGATGGCGTATACAAAACTAACTTGTTCAATATATTATTAAAAAAATTTTTTTTACAACTTTGCATCAACTTTACAAAATAAAGGACAAAATGCTTATTTTAGAAAATAAATAAAGTTAAAGGACAGATCAGTGAAATAAAGGACTGTCCTCTTAAATAAAGGACGTATGGTCACTGTAACCATATACCATCTATCAGAAATATGCACAAATTGCATCCTCAGTTGGAACATACTGTATGTTATATTACGTGTAGTTAAGACACTATACAGTAGAGCGTCGATTATCCGAATCATTTTGGGACTGGGGTTGTTCGGATAACCGATTATGTACGAAAAAATACATTATTAATATAGTATATTAATATATCCCTCCCGTGTTTAAATTTTTCTCTGTTGCGTGTTGCTTCACGTTGAATTTTCGTTGATATTTAAGCCTAACAAAAATTTTTATAATAATAATCATGGCTATTGTATCGTTAAAAATTATTTCTTTATTTTGTACAAACAAAATAAATATAGTGAGAAATATAAAAACAAAAAAAAATTATACTTTAGAAGTTAATCTAGTATCAAAAACGTTCGATTCAGTAAGAAACAGTCCGACTGGAACGCTTTCGGTTAACCGACGTTTCGGTTGATCAGCATTTGGATAATCGATGCTCTACTGTATTTATTATTGTTGTATAATACAGATTGTTTTATGTATTGTGTATCTCAGCTGGAACTCTGGAAGTTTTTTAAGGTCAAAAACCCTTTTTGGTAACACACAGTGACCTTGTTACAGATCCATAAAGTAATCGGTTCTCCTCAGTAAGCAAATACACCAGTCCCTGCTGCTTTGATTTATGAAATAAGCTGTAAATAACACTATTAATTTACTGGTATTTCATAAGCAAGCTAGACAAACATTCATTTAACTCCTTTCCAAACTTATCCTTAGCTTTTAATTATCCATTTGAGGTAAATTTGCAAGTTATGCTTACAGTCTATGTGGGTATACATGACAACTGGGCAATTTACAATGGGCAATAGTCAAGTGGTTGATGGTTAACTGGGCAACAGTAACTTGGAAATTTTTGCATGCTTAACAAGTATACAATTTGATGGATATTATTTATTTATAAATATTGGTAAAGACTTGAGGTACGAGTTATAAATTATGAACAAGTTAAATGTTCCAACTTAGGAAAAGGGAATATTTTCAATTAATGTGCTACAGCACATTAATTGAAAATATTCCCTTTTCCTAAGTTGGAACATTTAACTTGTTCATAATTTAACGATGTGTCAATCTGTGTAAATCACAATATAATAGCATGCTATATGTGACTTGCAAGTTGCAGTTTGCATTTACATAATCTATATAAGTATACTGTAACTATACAAAGATGAGGTTCAGGCAGCTATGAATTTTTTTCATTATAATCTTATTGGACTTGCCATCGATGTGGTCTGTTGTTAAGTAGCACACACTTGTACAAACCAAATATTAATGTACAGGTAACATAAACATTATCATCATAGATAATTTTGTAATTAAATAATTGAAAATAATTTAATTAATTTCTAGAACCTTTAAAAGAATCTGTATTTGAAGATATCAAAGGTAATCATTAAAAAATAATAATAGTTTGTAGTATATTTTCGAACCTATTGGAAGTAAACAAAATTTTCATTCATTTATAGTTCGAACGTGCTTTGTAACAACATTGGAACGAGGTCAAAAGATTCAAGAACACGAAGCCAGTAAAAAACTTTCTTCGCCTGTTAGCGTATGAGAAATTAATTAATATTAACGGAAATTGATTTAAGAACATTATTAAGATTTCTAAACACATTATAGGTCGAGTTACCAATCCCGCCTCACGATATTCAATATCCGTTAGACGGGGAGAGAATTCTAACCATTCCCGGATACATAAGGTTAATTATAATTATTTGGTTTACTCTCTTTATATCAAAATATGATAAAACTAATTATACAATTGCAGAGAATGGGCTGCTGAAATGTTGTTCGAGCAAGATGGCGAGGAACAAAATGTTGCAACTATAATATTGGATTCTATTTTAAAAGTAGGTTGTTGCAAATTTATCCACTTGGCATTATTTTGAGATCCGATAGCCTTTGGGATAATTACAAAATATTTCTAGTGTCCGACGGATGTACGAGTGGCACTGGCCGAAAATATCATTGTGATGGGAGGTACGGCAATGTTACCGGGGTTCAAACATCGTCTGATGACGGAAATTAAACTACTTTTGACGCAGAAAAGATACGCTAATTTGCCCATCAAAAGTATAAAATTTCATAACCCTCCCTGTAAAGAAAATTACACGGCTTGGCTCGGAGGTAAAATTTCATCAAATTAATTTTAGGTGGTAGTTTATAATAAAAATATTTATTAATTATCATGTATTTTTCAGCCGCTATATTTGGAGCAACTGATGCGATATCCAAGCGTTCCATAAGCAGGGAGCAATTCAACCAGCACGGGATACCCGACTGGTCCGATCACAACTGGGATTCCAGCGGAAAATCCTTAGCCTAGAAAAATGACCACAACGAATTTATATACATGGATTTTTTTAATGTTTTTGTTAATTTATTATTGCTAATAAGCTTTAAATATTATTGGTTATATACAATAAAATATTTGTTCGTGATCGTCTAATTACTTTCCATCATGCATACAAATAAGTTTAAAACATGGAAGTACAATATCAAAATATCAGGAGGAGGCAAAAGTAATGACTGAATTGCAAGCTGGAAGACCATATAGAAAACATTATATACATATAGATATAAATAAATTACATCTGCATATTACTTTATTCAAATAAAATGCTTTGTTTTTTTTTTTAATCCATGGTGAATATACGAGATGCTATATCGTCCAAGACCCAATCGATTCCAGTCAATAAATTTTCTCCAGTTATGGCACTGCATGGGAGAATGTTCCAGTGATGACTTTTTATGGTATCCAACTCAAGAATCTAAAAGACAACAAAGCAGTTTATCTACATATTACATCACCAAATTTCGTTATTTAATTTTAAAAATATATAGAAAGAGTTGTAGAATGATTTATGTGTTGCTTACCTCTTTAATTTCATTAGCAGGCAATGCACCAGGCAAATCTTGCTTATTAACAAACACTAAAAGTGTAGCTCCAAGTAATCTCTGAAAATACAGACACTGGTTGATTGAGCAAGTACTAGCCTTGTTACTACTATACTGCATATCAAAAACATTTATAACCCCCTCAGTAGCGTTACAAGTCTACTGCTTGCTAAGATTACCCTGAATATCTAATTCTTCAAATTCTACACTTACTTCTTCAAGCAACAATGCATGCAATTCATTTTTGCAGTCCTGTAACCTGCGGCGATCTGCGCTATCCACCACCCAAATGAGTCCGTCCGTACTTTCGAAGTAATTTTGCCAGTATGATCTAAGAGATTTCTGGCCGCCGACATCCCACATATTCAAGCGAAATCTATCAAAAACTAGACAGTTAAACTACCAATGGTAATAAGAAAATTCCATTGTAACTTACCCTCTATGTTCTAATGTCTTAATGTTAAATCCAAGTGTAGGTGATATGGTATTGATATCTTCTCCATTAAATTTCTTCAGAATTGTTGTCTTCCCAGCATTGTCTAGACCACTATATTGTCAAGGAAGAAAATCAGTTACTGTATGAATTTTATTGCAATTAGTACAGAGAGAAATGTATTTTGTATGACTTTAAAGTAATATGTAACATGTTCATTTGAGGCAGAGAAAAATCAAGAAAATAGTAACTAGGCACAGTTCATTTTCTGTTCAAGCACAAAGTAAAAATTGACTTTAAAGTCGACCAATCAAATTTTCAGAATGAATTCAATTCTATAAGCCACATAGAAGAGGCTTTGCTAACACTCTGACTCAATTAAGGCTAGCTTATTCTTCATACCTTTTCATAAATTTCAACTGAAAGTCACGTTTTCTCGCGTGGTATGTTGAAATTTTTGTAATATCTTTCATATTTGGGGATTGCTACCTGTTGCAAAATTCACAATTTGCCAAAATCGTATTCAAAATTGCCAGAGAGCAGTCCAAAACAACAAAAATTCATTTGGTAAAAAAGAGCACCACAGAACATGAATCAGCCAAAAAACTTCTGTCAATAATCTAGGCAGTTCTCAGTTGTTACTACAAATCATTTAGGCCAGGGATGGCAAACCTTTTTGACTCTGCATGCCATATAATAAGCATTTTTTATCTTTGAATATCATTATTTGAAGTCTAAAAATGTTTATGCATGCCAAAGTTTCAAAGAAATTAAATGAATATGCGTTAATTAGAATAAGCATAAAGCAGCTGATTCAAAAAAAAAGGATGATCAGGTGATAAACCAAAAGGAGACTGAAAAAGACATAGGTGATAAATGGAAATTATCCAAAGTTATGTGCCACATGATTTCTCTGAAATGCCACTTTGGGCATATGTGCCATAGGTTTGACACTCAATTGAGGCATATATCCTAAGGAATAATTATAACTAATGCAATCCATAAATAACAATTACATTATATATGTAAATATACAACTGTTTTTTAAATAAACCAATATACTGTATACGGTTCATTTCACAAGTCTGGCCTGGAACTCGTGTTTCACCTGATTTGGACTCTGGAATATTTAAAGAGACTATATGCCAGCAACCCTGAGATATGCTTCATATTCCTGTTAAATTCATATAACCTGCACATTTTGTATACTAACATAGACTTGTCCTTGCTATTATGCATTAGTGGTGGCTTGTGGTGTCTTATATGGGAGTGCATTCAAAAGAGGGCAAGTGGCACTCAACACTAATACAATTGTTTTTATTCTGTATAATGTTTTGATTAATTTTAAGTCAATGTTTTTATCAAAACCAATGCTAACAAAAACATTATATGAAAGAAAACCAATGCTATTAGTGTTGCACACCACGTGCCCTGTTGCAACAGCATCTCCATTTTAGACACCACAAGACATCACTATGCATATTTCAAAAAGATGATAAATTTAACATGTAGCAAATATCTATATATATATATATATTGATTTGCTTCATTTATATATATGCATGCCTTATTTCAAAATTTATGTCAAAATAGTTCCAAAACATCTGACTAATGAAGAAAAAGTATAGAATTTGTATACATTAACTATGGAGGGAAGTCAAAAAGTATTGCATAGTATTTTATTATATTAAAACAAAAAACTGTGTGCATTTGCTAAACTTTACAGTCCTTTAATGTATTCCCTTTATTTATCAATAGTTGCTTACCAGCATTTTGGAAAGTCACCATTCCCATTAGCTCCATTTTGTAGTTCCTGGATGTGCAGCTTTTAAATTATTTAGCATTATTCAAAAATTCTTTTTCATTGTAATGTTCCAATTACATTATAAAAGTATTGACCAGTGTTTTTGAAATAAGTAAAAATTTCACATGCACATTCAACTTTGCATTGGCAAACTGCTTCTTGTGCCATATTATATGATTTATTATTTCTTTTAAAAGTCATTCATTCTTTATGTTTACAGTCAATTCTCCAAGAGTTCAAATAGCACTTTCTATATAATTATAAATTGTAGTAATTTGCAAGAACTGCTGTTATTTTGATACGAAATTAGCCGAATGATTTCATTAATTCAAAAAACTCAAGAATTTTTATTTTTTATAAATTTTGGGATTGAAAGAGAACCACCTTTATATCAATACAAAAAAAAGAGAAATTATTTATTGTGACATTGTCATAGTACCAGGCTGCAATTTTTAATCATATTTTTAATTTATTTAATTTAAAATATATGCTCTCCACCTCAAATTAATAGTGACTTGCCCCTGGACTTTTCCTTTAACAATAGAATTGTGCCAGTCATCTATCTAACATCTTTTGGGGAAAAGTTTTTGAATTGAAATAACACGACTTCCAGTATATAGTTAATTGGGGCCTCCTGGTCTCATCTTTGGTCTTTCTAACTCCATTCTCAAGATTAAGGAAAGGCAGACAGACAAACAACAGTGAGAATTTATAGATCTACAATATCTTCAAATTGCAGCACAATTAATATTAAAATAAAATTTATAGTATATACATTAGAAAATCCTTCAGTATATAGATAAATAAATGTACTGTTTAACAACATTGTCATCACACAAAGCATGTGTCTTTGTAATTTTTTAAATTCAAACTTGCATATAGATATCATTGCTATGTACTGTACAATTATTAATGTTTAAAGTTGTTTGACTTAGAGAACCATACCAATTTCAATGGCTAACAAATGTTGATATTCATATACTATTTATATTATGATGTCACAATATAAATAGTATATGCAATTCATACATTCTCTTTACATCGGATCCTTTTCATATGAAGAAAACAGATCTGAAACTAAGAGAAATCTAAGTGTTCTTGTGAAATTTAATTAGGATTTCTTTAACCAAGAGATTGTTTCAAACTTTTAAATTAACAAGGAGTTCAAAGAAGATTGCTCAATTTTACATATATAATAGTATGTATAGCTTTTCTGCAATAAGCAAACCATTTGAGAGGAGACTTATTTCTCATACAAAATATTTTCCTGTTATATTTTCAAATTTTAATAAAATAGAATGCTGCTGAATTAAACTATGCACCTTTAACAGTGGATGAAGTTGAAAGAATGCTAAGTTTTTGAACTGGTTAATGGATGATCTTCAGGCATAGAACGTGAAAGTGCCAGTATTGGTTAGGAAGCAAGATTCCAACTGATTTTTCACAAGTCATGTTCTGTTTATGTCATATTGTGTGATGCAAACATTTCACATTGGTTAGTGTTTATTTATTCGTTCATAGTGATTCGCATGACAGCTTTACTGTGTAAGCCACATTATCTAAATACATCTTGGACAAACTATTTTATTTTTTATTCACTTGTTTAACTTATAAAATAATTTACAACCATCTTAAACATTTCCAGTTTATAATTTTCTAAAGCTTTAAATTTATACATTTCAAATTATTATCTATTGAGAATTAGATCATCTTATCCAAACATATTTAAATATATTACAATAAGCTCAATGTTCATGTTATATTTGTTGAAAAGATAGTGTGTAATTGTATATATTAAATTTAAATTGTCTTGATCTGTGAAATCAATAAACTTTTTAATGTTTTCAAAATAATTTCAACATCTGTCCTAAGAAATATGTAAATTGAATTTAAAATGAAGGCAGATTTAAAACTCATTTATTCATAATGTAATTTAAGTACAGAAGTTTGTTAATCCCATATCTATGAGACCAGAGTGATGCTGGATCATCATTTATCAATAATGCTAGATTACCAGATGTTTTTATATTTTCATAAAATTTGATATGTTATATGCAATCTGAACATTGCAGCAATTGCTGTGCATCTTGTAACAGCACAAGCTGCTGAATGCATGCACTTTGTTTATGCACACTCTTTATCAGGCTGATGATGATAAATACACACGAAGCTCACATCTCTATTGCTATTTTGCCCAATGCTTGTATGGTATGGTTGCATCTAGCTTTATATATATGATTTTATAGATTGCATGTGTTATGAATGATTGTAAAACCTGTAAAAATGTTAATGAATGTGACTTTTGCACACACAATATTTATTTTCCAAGTGTGCACCATATTTCCACCTGTGTTCATTGGAGATATAACCAAACAAATCCAAATTTTTAGAATACTAGTATGCAGGATTATTATTGGACAATTCTCAATTATCAGTTACTTTTCAGAATGTGCTATATTATTGGACATTCCATATTATGAACTTATAGTGTATCTGCAATCCAGTTACTGCATTGTCTGTTAATAGAGAGACTTCAGATAATGATGTCTTGTATTAACAACACAATTTTCTCAGATCTCCATCATCATCTAAAGTGTATATTCTACGTTTATAATGAATAAAATTTCATTTTTATGTAAATAAGAAACAACAAAACAATAATTTAATGTAACAACATATTTAAGATTGCAGTTCATTAATTTTCCAGATATATGCAACCCCAAAGGTCAGTTAACTGTTTTTTTTATAATACAGGTCTACATCAAACAATTTTTTAAATGTGTCAGAACATCGGACATTATTTATCGAACAAGAATCTCATTTTAATTTAAGCAGCCTACCAGTAGCTAAAACCACTAAACACTGATAGCTGTTTAGTGGTTTTAGCCTCATGTTTGTGCCTGACCAATGAGTTAGCCTTCTGAAGCTTTCCAATTTTTATTTTTCATTGGTTTAATACCTAAATAGAGACCAGTTCTACCAAGAGGCACCATACCTTGGTAGATCACCGATATATCCAGTTGCCTTATTCCATCAATCCAATCCATTTTGAACAATTATTACATAAATGAGACAGTAATTTAGTCTTTACAATGGTTAACTGACTTTTGTACCACCATGTGTATTATGTACAATATCTGTATTTTGAGTATAGAGTGAGTTCTATACATGAATTTACTAACTTCTGTAATGCATTTATTTGCTTAATATACAGAAGTTATCATCAATTATGTGGCAAAACTTTATGATTGATTCAAAACAAAAATATTGATTTATATATATCTATTATATAAAAGGATACAGCATAAGAAGCCTAACTTCCTTCTCCTTTTTCTTTAACTTCTTCAGAATTGTTAATAAACCCATTTTCTTTTTTTTTTTTTAAATTAAATTTTAGAAGAAAACTATCACACTTTTCTACATCTCCATTCAAAATCCAAATAACTAGTGCGATAGTGGCGCCATTTGTTAACACGAAAAATTTTTGTATAAAAAATATATAAATATTAAAACTAAAATATTTTTATATTTAAATACAAAATTATTCTAAATAGAATAAAGGAAAACATTAATATATTTATTTTATTAATTTTAATATCATTTTTAATATAAATTAATTTCTGAGGGACCGGGTTCGAGTTCGTGTCATTTCAAATTCTTATACGTGTCGTATAACACGGCTAGTTACGTTTAGGCTGTGTACACATTAGGCGTTTATAAATGCGCGTTTTAAAAAATCAAGAGTTCTGCATATGCATACATACTCAAACGCCCGCTTTTGGCCAAACGCGCGTTGATAGATTTTTGTTAAAACGCGCGTTTTACGGGCGTCAGTCACGCGTTTTGAGATATATGTGCTGCCATGTTGTTGTACATTCGATCGCGCGCTTTCGGGTAGAGCGGACGTACGTTGGCCGAATTGGAGAACGATCATTTCGATACTAGTCTATTTATTGATGAAATCTAAAAGAGACCAGCCATCGTCAAATGATTTTATAGATATTCTAAAAGAATTAAAAAATTTGGGTTCATATTATCTTAGTTTTGGATACAACGTCAGAAACATTCCATGCGTCAGTCGATCTCGTAATATTGGTTGCACCCAAAATTCTCTTTGCCTCTGCCATCGTCTTTTATAGCGACGATGGAGGAGGCACACACAAGCAATTACTTTCACGTCCATTTCCAAACTGAGCCAGTGCTAACGCTCCACTAAACGGTCGTCGAACGACGAGCTAACGCGCGTTTAAGGCCCTGTACACACTAGGCGTTTTTCAACGCGCGTTTAAAAGAACCAAGAGTTCTATGTAGCCGTACACACTCAAAAGCCAAGCGCGCGTTTTGCGAGCGCTTTACGGGCGCTTTGAGATATATGTGCTGCCATGTTACCGTACATGCGATCGCGCGTTTTGCGGGCGTCAGCCGAGCGCTTTGAGATATATGTGCTGAAATGGAAAACGATCATTTCGATACTGATCTATTTATTGATGATATCTAAA